ACGATGCCGTCAAAGATAGACAATTTGTCGAAATAGAATCGTGCGGAGAATGTGGAAATGAAATCCTTGGACTTGTTGTAAATTAAGACGTATTCTCTGACCGCGAATTCCGACCGATAAGCTTTTATCTAATTCCGCTAAACGAAATCGACGTAGATTTCGAGGTTGAATAATAATCCAGGAGAAACGTATACAAGACCAATAATCAGATTGTGAGTATGGCCACGTTCAACACTGACCTTATATTTTCTTATCCAGTTGTGCAAGGTAAATATTATCGAATCATTCATAATCCATGTCTACTCATACTCATACTCATACATTTATTCCATATCATATTTATTATATGCTGGCAAAACCGTCAATGCAGGAGTACCTGTATTATGTTACAATCTTTTCTTAAATTCGAAAAATGATTGAGTTATGAGCCATAAAGTTTAATTGTTACTGTAGATCTATAGTATTGATTAAATCACATATTGATCTTAAAAAATTCCATTGTTAAATTTGACTGTATCAGTCTATAACAATAGCAATATTGAGTGATATTCGAAACTTGTTATTATATCTGAAACATTTGATGCGACACAATATTATATGTGCCGACGATCGCATCTTAATAAGGAACATCGATCAGATGATTCACGGTATTTTTTTTTTTAAGTGAAGCGTACATTGTTCATACGACCAGGCTTGGGAAACTAAAAGCTCCTTTGTGCAACCGAGTAAGGAAAGGATGTCTTGTTGATCTTGCGAAGAGGGTGATGATTCAGCGCGTGCGAAAGGAGGGTGAAGGAGGAGGAATGCTAATCACTGAAAGTGTGATGAAGATTTGAACCGTGTATCCATTCCAATCGTACATATAATAACTACTTAGCCTTCAAAATTCTGAACCCGCAAAGTATGTCCGTTATCATTATATACGATGAATGAGTGCAAATTGCTTGGGGGGGGGGGTTTTCTCGATTAGTCACATGATTGCTCACACGAGATCCTGGTTGTGTTCTTCTCAGTTAGCAAAGGTTTAACCAAGGCACAATAAGATCATCGGGTTAGATTCACATAGTTTTTTGTCACAAAGAATTTCCAAAGAATCTGTCCGCAGATTATTCTAGCCATTTTTGGTATTACTATTGGGTTATGATGGAGGGTATTCACAGTTCGAATGCCAACTTTATTAAGATAAGACTAAGAAATAATAATGCACAAAACGGTAATACTGATATCAAGAGAAAAGACGAGCAATTTTAATATTAATGGGTAAGAAGAATATTAAACAAAGCCATTTCTTGACTCGAATCTGACACAACATTGTTGAGTGCAACATCCCTGAGAAAATTTTGTAAACCAAGAATTAATCAATTAATCAATCAAAAAGTTTCTTTAATGGTTGATTCTCTTACCTTGGCAGATTTAACACCAATATTGCCTTTCTCGTAAAATAATGTTCCATTTCCAAAAAGTAGCATATTCTAATTTCTAGAAATGTTTACGGTTTGTTGCATGAGTAACCACAGTTGTAAGAATTAGAAGCACAATCTTGAAACAAAATTGGTAGTATGTCATACTCCTAGATTACATTTATAACCTTATTAAACTTTGACATTGGTACCCTAAACTCTAAACTTACAATACGTAAGTAATCGTTACTATTATTGTACGCATTAGCATGTACTGATCGTCAAATATCGAGGAAAAGAAAGGTAAATTAACATCCTCCAGCCAATCATTTATTTCAAACGTCATTCAATAATAACCAAACATGTTATATTCTATTAATGCTTATAAATAGAAAACTGCATAAGACTTTAACTTGCATGCTATATAAATTCCCTCGGTCACTCAAACTACATGATTTTATTTATACGAGGACTCGTACAAGATGCGAAAACGCACTGTTCATCAAAGCAGACAAGGCGACATTCTTGTTCCGCCTTTTCCATTAGCTCTACCACTCAAAGAATTGATGGCGTCTAACACTACAAATCCGTTTTTTCTTTATCGAAGACATTATCTTGCTAAAACCAAAGACGCAAAGTCGGTAGGAGTAAAAAAGGCGCCTCAGAAGTGGCGCAGGGAGAGTATACAAGTAAGGCAGTTCTTTATCGCATTGGCCGACGCATGCAAATCTAGACGGAAGAAGGAAGAGAGCGAAGAGGATGATGGTAATATTCTGTTTTGTTTGTTTACTGCTTTAGGCGTTTAACAATGAATATTGTTATTATCATCTAAACTCGTAGACGGATTGGCACAGTCATTGCGACAAATATTTGGAATTACTTCGCCTTTGTCAGCTCCATTCATCGCTGACGCCGATACCAATCATGTTACTTCACTATACAATCTTCCGTTTTATCCGTTACGATAACGATTTTGATATCGGACTGCAAAACCTTACCTTCATTCACATTGAACACAAGTCACCATATTTGATATAAATCCTTATCGGGGTTGGTTGAAAAAGTTACAGGCTCAGGAATCAAAAAAATGGGCCCGCCAGTTTAAATGGTGAGATAATTTTGGTTAACGGGCGTTGGAGAAGTTGATTAGAGGTTGTTGTGTTCTCACAACATATTCAATCATTTTGTCGTCATTCTTGGCCTGCATTCCTAACGCGTGCAATTTTTGGTAAATGCGTTATATGCAAAACAACTTACGAGTTATTATTATGGAGGATAAAATCGTAGGCATTCATTTATTATTTATTCCATAACAAGTACAAATGGTGTATCCTCATGCATTAAAAGTGAATCGTAATTTGTGTAAATTTTGTAGTAGCGGGCCTTTAAATTTTCAAATAAAAAGACAAACTATTCCATATTACAACACGTCTTTCGAAATAATGCATTATAAAGGTAAAAACGTGCTAAGCGTCTGTGTCGGATTGCAACTTACGATTGGGTAAGCAAATTTGTTCGAAAATACGAGACGCTTGTTTGTGGAGATTTGGTAATTTGAATTCTATTAAAAGATTTTTTTTGTATAGACATAATCTCAATGGAGACACTATCCAAAAGTTACAGAAACTGCCATTAGACAGATATGACCATGAATTACGAGAATTGATAGTAGATGCCAGAAAATGACAATATAAAAGACATAGCGACCTAAGAATAGTGATTTCCAAAGACATTGTTCGTGGTTTATTATTTTCAGTGAGAAAAGGAAGATAAACAGTTATAGAGTAACGAGAGAGCGAAGATGAGGAAGCGGAAGTCAAAGGATAAATGAAGTAATGTTATGTAATAATGACAATACAAACTTTATTCTCCATGAACGGAAAAACGTATTTTTAATAGACTAAGTGAGAGCAATATAATAAGCAAATACAGTCAAGGGCACACACATCTGAAGGTGGACGTAGGGATGTGAGAAACAAACCCTGTTTGTAGCCAGCAAACCCATATCCTTATTGTCAATACATGCATTGAGGAGAGTGCTATGAAACAAGTAGAGAAAAGTGATTCAGCGAACATACACTCCCGTGGCAAAAGTCACCAACCACCCTGTCGATCAATTAGTAAAACATATGAAAAGTCTATCTTTTCGAAATTCAGTATTGGCGTTATTTACTAAG